TACATATCTATACAAACCGTTTTATCGAGATGTATTTGATGGTGTTTGGATATGTGTTGGATAGATTGGGTAGCTTTACATAAATTAAGGAAAATAAAGACCCATTTAAAATGATTTAAGGACTACAAGACAATATTTCAGTCAATTTAAGATTTTTAAGGCCTAAAATTTAGAAATTTAAGACCCCGCGGATACCCTGTACTTACTAAATGCTTTTAAAGCTATTTTTTTATTTAAATTATTAATTTGCAATAAAATATTGACTAAATATATGTTTTTAGAATAGTTAAAACAAAAGTAAACTAGTGATTCTTATGGTAATACAAATTAATAACAACAACAAAGACTGTGCGATAAATCAAAATCGTCTAGCAATTTTAAACATTGTGATTAGTTAAATCAGAAGAGGCTTATATATATATATATATATATATATATATATATATATATATATATATATATATATATATATATATATATATATATATATATATATATATATATGCATGTATGTATGTATTATTTAATTTCCCTCTGCATGTATGTGTGCATGTGCATTTGTATATAATATGCATTTGTGCATGTGCATTTGTATATAATACATACATAAATTAATTTATGTATGTATTATTTTATTTCCCCTGTCTACAGCAAATGCGTGACTGCCGTCTGTGTGTGTCTGGCTAGCCAATTAAGTGAGCACATTTTCATTCTGCCCAATAAGAACTACGCAATCGAACTATGTGGAACACCCACAATAAAAACAAAACAAAACTGGAAAGCGCTTGTGGGATTAACAGTGGGATTATGGTATCTGCTGCTTCAGATACATTAATAGTTTAATTAATATCAAAGAAAAATAATAATACATTTAATAATAAATATATGTAACAATAAAATGGCCAGAGAGTGTAAATAAAAAAATTTAAAAATTTGTGAACGGATTTAGGCTTAAAGCTTTCACTGCATAAATGATTTTACGAGAATGCAATTCTTACATGTGAGCCGTAACAAAACAGATCTATCCCAAGCTCATAGCCCATGCCATAGTCACATTCATCATTGGCAAACTGAACAAAGGTGATCATTTCCTGAATGGGTGCGAAAGCTTTCATCCTCTCCTCATCATCTTTGGCCTCAGCGATCGCTTTGCAAATCTTCTTCAGACTTGCTACAGGTAAACAAAACAAACAAGTCCCTGTCAATCTTTCATAATTCAGCACTAAAGCAGCATTATTCAAATTCTCAATGTCAAAAAAGTGAAACATCACAGAAATGACAGTCAGATTTTAAGGTTTACCATCAGATTCTGGCAATTCTCTATATCCGACATCATTTTTATCCACTGGAACAACAATTCCTGCTCCATGGAACGTCTTTGTGACCACCTACAGAACAAAAAATGAAAAAGGAAATTAGCAAATAATAATATTGATGCTGATGACACACAAACGAGCATGCGCGCGCACACACACACGCATACATACACACACAGGCTTGCACATAGGCATGCCCACGCAAAAAAACATGCTCACACACACAGGCAGATTTACGCAGACACGCCCACACACATGCATACACAAGCGCAGGCACAAATGCACATGCACACATAAGCACGCAGACATGCATGCACACTTAAGCAGACAAGCAGAACAAGCACACTTGCAAAGACACAAGCACACACACAAAGACACGCGCACACACACACACCCAACCACAAGCACACACACACCCACATGCACACTCACACCATTTTTTTCTCATTTTACATCACATTTATTATACCTTTCTCTCTCTTTGTTTCATTGATTTAGTCTTTTGCTCCAGAGGTAAACCCAACCGCTCTGCCTCTCGCTTCAAATCTTCTTCTAGCCTGTTCAAAGCTGCGTCATCCTTCTGTTGTCTCTTCTCCTTCTTTTTCTTTTGCAAAAACAGCCTAGATGGTAAAAAAAGCACCGAGAGAGAATAATAATTCACATAAACATATTTAAACCAAATCAAATCAAATCATTAGCTGGGCATTCATTTGCGGGTCAGTAACTTGTACTGTACTTACAGAACAGCTGCAAAAATATTGTCCCCCAACTGTGTGATGGTATACCCCTTCTTGGCTTCATTCTCCCCAATGAAGACAGGTAAAGCATCAGGCAAATCCCTGGACAGAGGTACAAGTACAGTGAGAAAGTCCCTGTGGAAACCTCGTTAGGTAGTGTTTTAATGTTAAAGATCAGTGAGTTCTTCCCAGTTAAAGTCATTTACAGACAAACGGTCACCTGAAGTATCCCATGTGGTGTTGGGTGTCTGCATTGCCCTGTATGATGGTCTGGAATTCTGGGGGATCATAGAAATAACGCCAATGAAGGTGAAAGTTGGGCTGAGAAGATGAGTTTTTGTGCTTTTTGGACAGGATATCAAACGGGCCAACTAGCTGAAGTCCAAGTGTTTTTTTTAGGGCATCTGCAAAGCACATAAAACAGACGTAATGATTAAACTTCAGTGCAAAAAGACATGTAAACCACATAATTCTAAACAATAATCACTAAGATTGACCCAAAATGAATTTGCGGTTAGTGTTGATAATGCCAAAACAGTGAGTAGCTGGTCTTAGGCAGATCATGAATTTGTTTCTGGTTAGGCCCACACGCACCTATCATTGAGTCTATTTATTTAGTTGTTTGTAAATGTGTGTACATTTTTATTTATTAAGTTTTTAAATTAATTTCAGTAATGTTACAGACTATTATGAAAACGTTCATTTGATTTACTTACAATACAATTTGTACAGTAATAATTTCTGTCTTTTAGTAGATATTTGGTAGATATATTATATGAGAGACTTGCTTTGTTTACTAAAGTGGATCTAATTAAACTTGCATTGTAAACATTAAATAAAAGTTAAATTTTTTTTTAACTATTATAAACGAATATTTTAACATATTAAGTTTTGGTTACGATACTCTTCAAATCATTCCGCATAAATATTCTGCTCAAAAATAGCAAAAAATGTCCGCAGATTTTGTCAGGGCCTACTGATGGTTAACTGTTGATTAAATAATTGTGATGTGACTCAAAATATTATATACACTACAACGTAATATAAATCTTTAGTCTTTTACTAGATAAAATCAGTATTTAGGTTTGTTTGAAACAAATACTCCTTGACTTTATACATGAAACCATGTTTATGTGGTTAGATTCACCTTATTTGAAATTTGTACTTGACAGTTATTAACGGTTTTCTCAAATAACTGTTTTCAGAGTGCTGAAGTCAAAATTACAGAACCATGGATACAGCACCGATACCTTGTGGACAGTCAGCATTAAGACCTTCACAAAAGTCCCAAAACTGGAAAAAATCATCAGGCATGCGCAGCTTGTACAGTCTTTCTACTTCTTCCCTCATTTCTTCTCCGACAGATGTCTTATCATCCTCCAGCCCTTCTTTTGCTTTCTTCACCTCACCGTTTGGCGTCTCAGTCTAAAACATTTCAACAATGTAACGGTACATTAACAAAAACAATCTTTTCAATAATTTAAAATGAGAAACAGAAGAGTAAACACTAGGCATCTTGATATGAAAGCATTGAATGTAGTCTTTTAAATGAATAGCTTGGATAACCAATCTAATGTATATAAATAAAGCATCGAATATTTGAGGAATACAAGAAGGAAACGGGTGTGGGAAGTCACAAAATATTTTACAGTAAGGTTAACGTTAGTCATCACAAACCAAAGCAGACATAACGTTATAGACTCACAATTAACTAAGGTCAAAATAGACTGTTGTTTAACAACTAATGAGACTAACATTTGAAACTGACAAAACGTGCCTCTGTATAACTGACTGCAGGTATAAGTTACAACACTTGAGGTACAAACTTTACATGGTGATTATTGGCAATTATTCAATGAATGTACAAACAAAATGACTGAAGAGTGTGCACAATATGTAGTGTAATGCAGTCAATAGTGTACAATCATCAAGCAGCCCATAACCTTTGAATCAAAATTCATCGATAACCGAACGCTATACTCTAACTAGTCAAACTTATGAGGATTTTATAAACTACCTGCGGCAAAGATCTGGGTTTTCTTTTCCCGCGCCCCGCCATGACGGATGCTTCTTTCCCGCAGTCTCCTCAACGCAAAGAGCTGCAGACAGTAGAAAAGTTCTGAACATCCGGTGGCGATTTCAAAATACCAGTCGTGACTCTTGATACGTTGTCATCATGTTGTCATTATTCATTTTTAATAAGTAGGAACAAAATATATCAAACATGCAAAAAATGAATAGGCAGCTGGTTCTCCATCATTTTAAAAAGCTATTAAAAGATTATATCATCACATTATACAAATCTCCGCTATTTACTTAAAAGCTATTACAACATTAATAAATGACCAAAGTTACTCATCTCAGCAATGTAGAGTAGAAATAAAATAAGTTTTTAAGGTTTTGAAATGTGAAATTCAAATTTGCTTTGAATAAGGACATATATTTTTAATTTATTTTTTAATTAATATAATATTCATAGTGCATTAGGCAGAATCAGAAATCTGGAAAGCGGTTTTTGTAGGCTATAGATAATTAAAATGTTAAAATCAAAATGTGTTTTTACTTGGATTGTATTTGAATTTGTTGTCTTTTTTTAATTGTTTTACATTATTATATTTTTATTATTTTTTGACTGATTCATTAATTTCATTCCCTTTATATTATATTACTGTAATTCGTAATTATATTACGTTATTATAACTTCATTGCAGACTACTGTACTGGGTACAACATTGCCATGAAACCCTATAATAAAATAAGTTGCAATCAAATATGGTATAAAGACAATAAACAAAGGGATACTAATATAAACATAATCACTAGTTTATTTTCTAGTTCTGTGTTCATCCAGTCAGGTATTTATAGCATGTAAATTAGGATTTTTAGACTATCCCTGAACCACGTGTACATGATGCATGACGTGACACAGAGGGAGGCGACAGTGTGAGTTTAAAAGGATCAGTCTGTGTGAGAAAAACTCTCGTGGCGAGGAAATCTATTAGAAGTTTTCAGGAGCTGTCATCTCAGATCCACAGCAGGAATAACAATGATGTTCTGCAGAGCGGCTTGGCGAAGACTTGCGCCTCTGGCACGCAAAACACTCACTCCTCCTTTGTCCAGCAATGGTAAGAAAACACTAATTGAAGATCAATGTTTCGATTCTGCAAATTAAATTTATCTAATTGAACGTCACAATTCAAAAGAGATAGTGATGTTAGCTGCACATGTAAAACGTGCATAAAATATGAAATATGATCAGTAAGATGAGTGTCAGTGGTTTATGAGTTTACCACAATGCAGAACATGGAGTTAAGATGTTTATGTAACAACTAATGTAGTTAAATACATCAATGATTTGCAGTATGTAAATTAAGTAGCCAATATATGAAGAGTTCGGATGCAAAAACCTCTAAATGCCGTCTGTAATGTTTCCTAAAATGAGTAGCCTATTTTTCTCAGCCTCCTATGTTTTTGTTCAGTTCGCTTGAAAGGCAATGAAAAGAACTTCTTCATCACTATAAAAGTAAAATTGCTGAGCCTACATACAGGAGTCTGAGGAAAATGCCAATTTTAGGAGAAAATATCAAATGGCTTTTAGAGGTTTTTGCATTTAATATGCAACTTTAGGTTTGTTAGTTTGTTTATGGAGAAAATTTAGACATTATATATTTTTTATTTCGTTTTAGTTAATATAACATTCATAGTGAATTAGGCAGAATCAGAAATCTGGAAAGTGATTTTTGTAGGCTATAGAAAATTAAAATGTTAAAATTAAAATGTGTTTTTACTTAGGTTGTATTTGTATTTGTATTAGTTTTCTTCTTTCATCATTTGTTTTACTTTATTATATGTTTATTATTTTATTATTCATTCATTTATTTAATTTCCTGAATAATTTATCATATTTTCTGCAAACTGTAAAAACATATTTATCTTTGCATTTGGAGGACATCCAGAAGTGTTTATGTAGGCGGACGAAATATAGCCTACTGAGATTCTGTCTGTTCAAGTGTTTTGATTTGTTTTATGAATTTATATATTTTATGGTATTTATGAGCCTCGGCTGTGTCAGTTGGCATTTCTGTGCGGAGTTTGCATGTTCTCCCCGTATTAGCGTGGGTTTTCTCCAGGTGCTCCGGTTTCCCCCCACAGTTCGAAGACATGCGGTACAGGTGAATTGGGAAGGTTAAATTGTCTGTATGTGTGTGAATGAATGTGTATGGACATTTCCTAGTGATGGGTTGCAGCTGGAAGGGCATCTGCTGCATAAAACATATGCTGGATTAGTTGGTGCTTTATTCTGACCCCTGATTAATAAAGGGACTAAGCTGAAAAGAAAATGAGTGAATGAATTAACTTATTACCTTTTTATTGAACGGTTGTAAGAAATTGTAATCATTTTCCAAATGTACCTATTGATATTAGGATATTTATATATTTGTTTATTTTTTACAGTGCGTGCATGACATTTTTATGGACATTTACGTTGAACTGTTTCATTTTGAAATGTATAATATATTAACAGTTATGTGGATGATTTTGAGTTTGTTTTTAATGCAGAGCTTTCCATAACAGACGGCTAAACATGTAAACCCTTCCCTGCTCCAGCGCATCTGCTGGAAATAGCTGGGTTTGATCTGTTTAAACTTAATTTCCTGTTAAAGGATTCACTCCGTTTGAACGGCATGCATTTTCTATTATTGTATTTATCCACATATAAATATATTTTTAGCCACATATGCCCCATTGTTTTAAAACCTGAAGATCTTCAGTCCTCTTTTAACTTTGAGTGCAAATCTTTTTTTTTTCTGCTGAGTCGACAATTTGTGCATGGTTGAACTGATGTATTCACAAAATCTGCTCTGGCATTTCTCAAATATTTCAGATGGGCCTTGTGCCAACATGAATTTTCCGCATTCTGCTGTCTCCCACACCCAAAATAAAATGAAAATAAGCTGAAACAAAACAATTCTGGAGATTTTTTTTGGGGGGTAACTTAAGAGTTTTATGTTCAATCAAATTAAATTAGTTGCGTTACCTTATTAAATTTGTGGTGGGACATTTTTGACAGTGCAATGCATGTTCGTCTCTCTTTTTTTTCCAGAGAGAATGACTTTGTGCATGTTGCCCTGAACACCTGCTGGTCAACCTTCACCTTAACAGTCCGTTGACACAGCCATAAATGAGATTAAAAGTACAAATGAGGCACAAGCCACCTTGCTGCAGACAGTCACCTTGTTATTGTGGTGAAACTCATCCTCAGTGGAAAAAACTATTTAAAGTCCAGATTTTGTGATGTGACGCTGTAGTTGTGTGTTTTTTAGTATTGTATGTCCCGTGCATGTGCTCCTGTGGGTTGAAATGTAGCTGTAGGGAGAAGGAGGGAGGGGCAGATGCACTGTTGGACATTGTGTTCCCTTCTGCTGCTTCATTGCAGCTACACAGAAGATGTGTGTTTGCCTAAATTCATGCACAGACACAAAAGCCTGAATCACATGCTTTCTGTATCAGGCCTGTCTGGTCTCCTGCAACTTTGCATTTTGTTTTCTTTTTCAGCTCATCAAACGCATCAACTGAAAAAAAACTTTATTAGTTCTACCATTGTTTGTGGTGGAAATAAGAGTTCAAAGCTAAGCCACATGAATAATGTTAGAAAATTATACATAACAGACAAACACAACTGTATTATAAAAAGACGATACATATTTGACAGCTATGGTTGGCAGAATATTTTAATTAAAGTATAGTGTTGTAACCAATACATTGTTTTTTTTCCATTTCTTTATTGTTACTTCTACAATAGTACCTTTAACAGGATAATATTGTACATTTTTGTACATTTAGTTTAGATTTGTTTTCCTTGCCTTTAACCCTTTTTATGGATTCTACTTTATTTTACTGTTACTGTTGACTATGTTTGACATCTTACACTGTTTTTATGGATAATATGGTAAAAAATATAAGTAATAGACAAATAACAGACTAACAAAATAAACTTATAATACAAAAACTGTATTTATGCTGTTATGAAAATGAGATGACTTATTTTTATATGTTGTTTTTTTTACTTTTGTAATAGTACCTTTAACAGGATAATATTCTGAAATTCCAAGGTGGAATTAATTTAGATTTCTTCCATGCATTTCACACTCTCAGAAATAAAGGTACGCGATCTGTCACTGGGGTGGTACTTTTTCAAAACGCACAGATTTTTACCTAAAAGGTCCATATTAATATCTCAAGGGTACATATTAGTATCTAGAAAGTACAAAAGTGTTCCTCTTAAATTGTTTAAGTACTAGTATATAATTTTAAGGTACCAATATGAACCATTTAACTACAAATGTGTACCTTTTGAAAAGGTACCACCCCAGTGACAGCTCGCATATACCTTTATTTCTAAAAGTGCATGCAAAATAACTTTTAACCCTTTTTGTAGGGATTTTACTTTGTTACTGTTAAGGTTTTTGTTATCTTGCATTGTTTTTATATACATTTACATATGCACTCTCAGAAAAAAAATGGGGCAGTACCTTTTTATGGGACAGAATTTAACTTTAAGACAAAAAACAAAAAACAAATTTGTACCATTGCATTTTGTACCTTTTAAAGACATGATTTGTATCATGGGACAACAAAATGTACCTTTTGTTTTTTTATTAAAAATTAAAAATGCCTTAAATGTTTAGTTTACAATACCTTTAGTTTTGTTTTACCAGTTGTTTTGCATTATAGAACTTAATAATTAATGTTCATGAGTTTCTTTAAACATTTGCTTTTAGATGAGGATTCATGTTTTAATATGGAAAATATTCATTAACTTATTTTGCCTTTACAGTAATATTTATTTTCATAGATACTGTAATAGAGAAGGAGTTGTCCTTTTTTGTACCTTTTTTATGGGAACAATTGTGTTGCTTCATTTCAGTTTTATCATAAAAGGTACAGAACAGTCATAAGACCTATATAAGGTACAGCTTTTACAAAGGTACAAAACTGCTCAGCATATATAAGTACACCCCTCACAAATCTTTTAAATTTATATTTTTGATAGGAAGCTATACAATATTATATTGTACAAATATTATACAACATTTGTACAATATTAGTCAGTTCTGAAGCCAAATCTGGAGCTTATCTAATAAAATAACTTATGATAAGCGTCGAAAAAGTAGTTCACCCAAATTTATATGTTATAAAAAAAAATGTTAAATACAAATTTTTAAAAAGAGGAAAAATCAAGAGAAGCAAAAATAAATGTAAAAATTTAGTTATGTTTTTTTTTTTAGATATTTTGCTTGATTTTAATTGTACAATATTATCTTTCAATTTTATAAATATGTTTGTTAAATATTATTTTATTAAATATATCTGTTTAATAAATATGTTTTGTTGAAATGCAAATACATTGCCTTTGTTCAATGAAAAATGGAAAAAAATATATTTATTTTTAAAATGGGGTGTACTCAATTATGCTGAGCACTGTATATATATAATTAACAGTTATGAAAATAATGAGGTGGCTTATTTCTATCTGTTGTTTTTTTACTTCTAAAATAATACTTTTAACTAAAAAAATTTTGTGTTAATTCAGAAATTTTACATTCTACTTTTAACACATTTTTTTTAATTTTTTTTTTAGGGATTCCACTTTATTTTACTGTTTATGGTCCTGTCATCATACACTGTTTTTACTGATAATTTGTGATAATATGGAGCTTATATTGAATATGTAACACACAGCTTTCCTTAAATTTCCTGGAAATAGTTCAATTAACATGTTTGCAATATTATTACCTGCTAATAAATATGTATTATCGATCAAAAGGAAGAAGGGTTGTAGTACATTGTAATAATTTTTTTTTTTTTTTAGCAAAGTTTTAATTTTAATAATTTAGAGGCTTTAGAACTTTTTATAATGATGCTTTAAAATGTTAAATTTAGATTAAAGGCAGTATGGCACCCAAGAATATTTTATAAAATAATGCAGGTCTCTTTTTCTCTTTTCAATAGCTGTAGTTCCCATACGACAGATGTCCTTTGGGCTGCCTGTGTCTGGCACAAATATGGCTTACGCGGTTCTTTGTGGAAGCTCGCTTACGGCTGCTATTGTTTACGTATGTATTTGTACAAGATTATTAATAATAATATTTCCATTTCCTTAACTAAAATCTGCTTTCTCATGATTTCTCCTAACAGGCTTATAAGACTATAAACTCTGACAGTGCAAGATATAATGAAAGAATCGCTCAAATCGAGGCCAGAACAAAAAGTAAGTTTATTTTATTTTTATTTATATTTAATAATTGTTTTATTGCATTTTTTATTGATTTTATTATTTTTTAAAATTATTTCTATTAAAAATTTTATTTGATTAAACATTTGTGGTATAGTTCTCTTTTTGTCTACGAATACCTGTTTTAAAAGTAAGTTTTGTTTTCATTTACATTATTTTTTTGTTTTATATTTATTTTATTAAATTAGTATTTTTTATTAACATTTTGTTTTGTGGTATAGTTATGTTTTTATCCACAAATACCTGTTTTAAAAGCAAGTTTACATTTACATTTTAGTTTTTTTATTAAAATTTTTTTTATTTAGTTTTTTTTTTAATTTAATTTGTTTAATCACATGTTTTTTTATTACGCATTTAACAAGTGTGGTATAGTTCTGTTTTTAAGCTATAAATACCTGTTTTTAAAAGTAAGTTTATTTTATTTTTTATAAAAAATTTTATTAATGTTTTTTTTAGTTTTTTGTTTTTATTAAATTTTTTTATGTTTTTTTTTTTTTTTTGTTATTGTATTTTATTAAGCATTTATTGCATTTGGGGTATAGTTCTGTTTTATCTACCAATACCTGTTCCAAAAGTAAGCTTTTTTTATTTTTTATCTATTTTTTAATAAAATCTTTGTTTTATTTAGTTTAAATTTTTGTTTAATTTGTTTAATAACATTTTTATTTCATTTTATTACCTATTTAACGCATTTGTGGTACAGTTCTGTTTTTGTCTACGAATACCTGTTTTCATTTTGGTCTTTAATGATTTCAGTCAATCATTGAAAATCAGTAAAGTGGAATAATTTACACTGACAGCTGGGATTAAATTGTCTTTCAGAGCTCTTTTATTCTTGCCTATATTGAACTGACAGGTTCTGCCGCTGTTGTTTTGGTATGCGTGTGTGTTACTGCAGTTCTTCAGGCCTGATCCTCTTTCTGCCGTTACTCAGCAGCAGACACTAAGCTACGGCCACATTTAGAGCAGCTTTCACTTGTTTACTTTTGTTGTTTGCGTGCTGTTAACCATCTTACTTTTTGTTCTCCCTTCAGGTGAGGAGGGTGAGTATAAATTTAGCCTCTGTCTTAGCAGCATGACTGGTTTTCTATGCTCTCAGTAGACATTAACCAAAACTTGTTCACATTTCAGTCTGCCTGTCATTACTTGGTTCGCCCGCAGCACTATATGTCACATAACTCAGAACAGAAGCTCCTTTTCTAAATTAGTTCCACAGCTTGGAAAGATTTAATGTTTGATAAATGCAATCAATCATCATCATATACAGTTGATGTCAGAATTATTAGCCCCCCTGAATTAGTAGCCACCCTGTTTATTTATTCCCCCAATTTCTGTTTAACGGAGAACAGATTTCTTCAACACATTTCTAATCATAATAGTTTTAATAACTCATTTCTAATAACTGATTTATTTTATCTTTACCATGATGACAGTACATAATATTTGACTAGATATTTTTCAAGACACTTCTATACAGCTTAAAGTGGCATTTAAAGGCTTAACTAGGTTCGGTTAACAAGGCAGGTTAGGGTAATTAGACAAGTTATTTTATAAAGATGGTTTGTTTTGTAGACTATCGAATAAAAGTTTGCTTAAAAGGGCTAATAATTTTATCTTTAAAATAGTGTTCTAGCCAATATAAAACAAATAAGACTTTCTCCAGAAGAAAAAATATTATCAGACATACTGTGAAAATTTCCTTGCCCTGTTTAACATAATTTAGGAAATATTTTAAAAATTAAAAAAACTAATTTAAAGGGGGGCTAATAATTCTGACATCAACTTTAATCAAAGTTTGAACTTGGTAAAAGTCCTTTTGTATTGCTGTATACAAATTATTAGCCCACTGAATTATTACCCCCCTGTATATTTGTCCCCCCAATTTGTGTTTAATGGAAAGAATTTTTCAACACATTTCTAAACATAATAGTTTTAATAACTATTTTCTAATAACTGATTTATTTTATCTTTGCCATGATGACAGTACATAATATTTGACAAGATATTTTTCAAGACACTTCTATACAGCTTAAAGTGAAACTTAAAGGCCTAAATAAGTTAATTAGGTAAGTTAGGGTAATTAGACAAATCATTGTAATGATGGTTTGTTTGGTAGACAGTCGAAAAACAATATTTCTTAAGGTCATGGGCGTTGCTAGGCCCATTTTTTTTCCAGCGAAAAATGTAACTCTTAAACATTTCGCTATTTTATTTTAAAATGAACTACCAATATTAAACACTTTACAGTTCGTGTGGCATTTACTATACCATACAGTCTTGCACAGAAAGGATTAGACACAGTGACAGAAGCACTTAGAGACTTTAACTGTCACTGAGTCACTGAAAGAGATAGAAACATCAAGTGTTGTCTAGTATTAAAAAATACCACTTATTTATTATTATCATTCAGATCGTGAAATATGTGAATTAGCTTGTAAGTTTATAAATATATATTTACATGTGCCATTTAATTAGAAAAGTGGCATTTTATATATTTAATACATGGAAACAAAATTGCCCTTGAATATAAAAAGTGGTTTTTACTACAGTTTACTACAGTGTGGGTTGAGCTTATTTGGCTTACTCAGAACTCAAATGGCTATGCCTGCCTATGTAATGCAGTGGAATACTAGTATACAACCCATACATACATACATATATATACATAAATATATATATAGGTGAGGCAGTGGCGCAGTAGGTAGTGCTGTTTCACAGCAAGAAGGTCGCTGGGTCGCTGGTTCGAACCTCGGCTCAGTTGGCATTTCTGTGTGGAGTTTGCATGTTCTCCCTGCCTTCATGGGTATTCTCCGGGTGCTCAAGTTTCCTCCACAGTCCAAAGACATGCGGTACAGGTGAATTGGGTAGGCTAAATTGTGCGTAGTGTATGAGTGTGTGTGTAAATGTGTAAGTGGATGTTTCCCAGAGATGGGTTGCGGCTGGAAGGGCTTCTGCTGCGTAAAAAACTCGCTGAATAAGTTGCCGGTTCATTCCGCTGTGGCAACCCCAGATTAATAAAGAGACTAAGCCGACAAGAAAATGAATGAATGAACATATATATATATATATATATATAATTTTACCTTACAAGGAACTGAGCGCCCCTAAAATAAAAATCCTAAAATGGCCCTTGGGGGGCTTAAAACCTTAAAATTGTTTTTAAAAAATTCGAAACTGAAGGAGAAATATTATAGGAAGTACTTTGGAAAATTCCTTGCTGCAAACATAATTTGGGAAATATTTGAGAAATAATAAAACACTTTTAATAGTAATAATTTTTTCTTCAACTGTATTATCACAGTAGCCTTTACTATTGTCATTAACACACTGTTTTGGTCTCTGTCTTGACGCTAACCTTCTTCATTTCCAATAACATCATCAATTTATATTCATATCTTGGATTTGATCGTTTTCTTGAAGTCTTGCTTGCTGTATGCAGGAGCAGTGGCCGAGGTGTCTGTTGCAGCAGAAGCAGCTGCAGTTGTTGAATCCACAGCATCCGAACACGTCGCTATTGCTGAAACCACAGCAGTAGAAACTGTCGTAGAGGTGCTGGAAGCAGAGGCTGAAGAGTCTCCAGCTGAATCTCTGGAAGCAGCAGTCGAGCTTGAAGCAGGATCTGCTATTGTACAGGCAGTAGTGGCTGAAGCTGAGGAACCGGCTGCTCCTGTGGTTGAGGATGTTGCTGCTGAAGCTGCCGTCGCAGAGACGACCGGTGAGGAATCTCCTGTAGAGGAAGCAGCAGTCTAGATGTAAACCCTTTTGTGAATCTTCCCAGCCCACCTTGGAATATCCATTAAGCTGTAGAGACTCCCATTGTTGTGCTCGTGATTGACTTTCCTAATTGTCCTCTGAGGGAAAAAGTGCCTTTTTTCAAGTTGTGAAGTAATCCTACAGATGTGAAGGACAGGTTGAGATTTATATGCCCATGAATAGGAAAATAAAACATGCCAATGCTCTTACTATAAATTTCAAGTGGCCTTCTTTTAGACTGCTTGTTTTATAGGCCTATACAGAGAAACAGAAATATAGTCAAACAGAAATTCTATTGGAAATGTGTAAATCTGTGAACTTATTTCTTCTTTTTTAACACCAAACACAAGTTATTTCTTGTGATTGGGCAAGACTTAAACACACTCACTGTTTTTAGTTGCTAACTTTCTTAATTTACTAAAAATTGATGGAAAATGGAGCATCACCACTTTTTATTCATTTTATTTGGGTCCTGTTATTGTTCCTATGATGTGGGGGAAATGCAGACTTTGGTAAAAATAAAAAAAGAATTAGCTGTATAATAAAGACCATAATAAAAAATTGCCAACTTTTGTATATATAACGTCTGTTTTCAGCATGTGACGTATCACTACATGAGTACTTGCTGCAACTTAATTTCTGAAGCTGCTTAGAAAGTTCCTTCAACAGCATTTTATTGTTTTATGTGAGGAAAATAATCGTAAGCAGACGATACCTTAGTATTGCACATTCCAGCCTGGTCTTATTGTTTATACACTGGTATTATTATGGAATCACATACAGCTATAAAAACCATACATTTTGATTTGTTTTGATTGATGCTGAAATGTACAATTTGTATGTATACTATAAATATTTAAAAGGTGATCCTTTTAAAAAATTATTTGCAAATCTCATATCATGAAAATACTTGAATTTTATGAGTTTATGGGTATGATTTAGATCAGGGGTGTCAAACTCAGTTCCAAAAGGGCCGAAGCCCTGCACAGTTTAGTTCCAACCCTGCTCCAACACACTTGCCTGTATTTTTCAAACAAGCCTGAAGGACTCAATTAGTTTGATCAGGTGTGTTTAATTAGGGTTGGAACTAAACTGTGCAGAGCTGTGGCCCTTTTGGAACTGAGTTTAAAGCAGTTGTTTTGAGTTAGAATGCCAAATGTTCTCCTCCTTTTCAGAAGAAGGGTTCTTGCAACATATTTGCCCATCGGCAACGAGTTGCTACATATTCAAATACAATTTTCTTGGAAAAAATTAAAAAACCTGAAGAAAATAAATGCAAAACATGTTCATATTTTGACACTATTAAAAACGAGAACATGCAAGCAACCATTTTTTTTTTGAATTTGGGCACAAATGGGTTAACATTTGAAAAATGTTAAAATGTGAAAAAATAAGGGAACATAAAAATATATGTGACACTGGGGCATTTGCTTTTAACCTCAGTGCTGTTTGAATTCAAGTTTGATCAGATTGTATGCTGATTCCAACTTTTAAAACAATATTTGTGTTCATTAAAAATGTTTTTTTATCAAGATTAAACTTTAGTGCGATTTTAATTGTAGTCTTTGACCCATTTATGTCATTAACTTTGTTTTTGATTCTTTTTCCAAGGCTTTCTATGTCTTTTTGTATTATATTTCATATTTTTAATACATTTTTTTATTGACTTAAACTTTTTTGTGTTTTTTATAAACATGGTAATCAACAACGGTAATAGACAGAATTTCTCAACATTTACTTGGTTCAATGTGTATAGCATGGTTGATAACGATATGAAACAAAAAAAAATTACAAATTATATATGTACTCAAACAAACACACATATATGAATCCATATATATGCATACAGAAACCTGTAAATAAGTGTGATATACATAATGTCATATACATAATGTAACATATATACATAATGTCAGAGAAGTACATAAACGAAAAATAGTGTCTACTAAAATTATTGTAAAACATCAAACTGAAAGAAAAAGATAGTTTGTTGTCACCTATATCCTGAGACATCTTAATTGTTTCTCCTATGTTGTTAAATTAAATCACTTAAGTTTTAATAATGGAAATCAAATTGTCATGTTTTTGGATCCAATAAAGGATTGTTGAAATCTTTGCTCTGTTAATTAAGGCATAGGACTGTTCTAGTCGAACAATGTCTATAAAATAGTTTAACCATTGCTGAACTGACAGGAGATTAGGAGGAAACCAGGAACTGATGATTGTTTTCTTTGCAGCTGTTAATCTTGAGAAAAAAAGTTTGTTTTTGATTCAAAGTCAGGGATACTGAAGAATCATAAATCAATAGAAAAAGGCATGGTTCAGGAGGATTAATGATTATTTCCAGAATTTGCGACAAGATGGTGGAAACGTTAACCCAAAAATTGTAGATTGGGAGACAATCCTAGAAACCATGAAAAAAACTACCCATGGCATATTTTTAATACTGTTTATAATTGTGGATTTGCTCCATTCTGCGTTGTTTTCAATCAGTTTGCTTTGTTTATAGGTGAATTGAATACACTAAAACAGCCATAGTGTTTCTCTGTGAATGAGAGTGTATGGATGTTTTCCAGTACTGGATTGCAGCTGGAAGGGCATCCACTGTGTAAAACATGTTAAGTTCGCGGTTCATTCCGTTGTGGCGACCTCTGATGAATAAAGGGACTAAGCCGAAGGAAAATTAATGAATGAATGTTTAATTTAGATCATCTGCTTTAAATGTTTTCATGATCCTGCATTAAACCCTGTTTCTTCATTTTGGCAAAAGCTTCCCAAATGTCAATTTGCATACTTGACACAAATGTTTTCAGACTGACTTGATAATAATGCCTTATTTTCAAAGATGCTTTAGTCATCTTGTACAGTTAATCTGGGTAAATCTCTCTTGAGTGCGTTGTTTAATTCCTCGCTAATCTTGGAGATGTATGTCACTTAGTGTGTCTTAAGGAGATTTCCTAATGGTGCCACCACCTTCATATCCATCTTTAAAGATGCCAGGATATTTTTGCCTATGCTATTAGCTAATGGCATTTAGCTGCCTCCTACTGCCCGTGCCAAATTAAATATATACAGATAAACTGTACACACTACACACAATTCTGCAGTGCAACAAAAGTCCATTGGCGAACCTAAAATGCATAAGAAATGTTCGCAACTTTATTAATTTAATTAATGTTGTTAACACATTAACAGTATGGCTCAGTGGTTAGCACTGTCACCTCACAGCAAGAAGGTTTGAGTCCCGACTGGGTCAGTTGGCATTTCTGTGTGGAGTTTGCATGTTCTCTCTGTGTCCGCCTGGGTTTCCTCCAGGTGCTCCGGTTTTCCCCACTGTCTAAAGACATGCACTACAAGTAAATTGACTAAACTAAATTGGATGTAGTGTATGAGTGTGCATGTGAGAGTGTATTGGTGTTTCCCAGTACTAGGTGCAGTTGAAAGGGCATTCGCTGTGTAAAACATTAAAACATGTGCTGGATAAGTTGGTGGTTCATTCCACTGTGGCGACCCCTGATGAATAAAGGGACTAAACTGAAGGAAAATTAATGAATGTATACCATAACCTTCCTTCCCATCTCAAAAAGACTTTTCTTCACTTCTGGTCACATGGAATCCCTTTAGGGCGGGGCTACCAGGGTGTGTCCCATTTCTTTCTTCCTTTTATCCGTTGGTCAATCTTCCTTAATTTTGTTAGCAACTCCCATCGTCCAATGAACCAATTGCTTACCCTAGAACTAAATCATGCACCGCCCAATTTCTTTTTTTTAACCCTTTAACTGCCCCACAAAGAAAAAATCATTAAAAAAGATATTTTTTGGATTGCATTCCTTAACTCCTATTCCTAATGTCACTAGTTAACACAATCAATGCTTTTTTTCCAACACATCCCATAATTTATCAAATGTCAACCTCTACCAAATATTTGATATGTCGGTTTATGGTAAAGTACAGGAATTACATACATTTTGAAAATCAGAAAATATGAAGTGTAAGACCAATTTATTCAAAAACATCAAAATATTCTATGATATATATAATAATAATATATAATATTATATATATTATATATCAAACAGTCCAATCTGATCATGATGACAGAAATGCACGATATGAAAACTTTAGATTTGTTTTTGACTTCAATGGTAGAAGCAATATTGTGACAAGTGCTGTTAGTGACAACTAGTGGATTTTTGGCATAGCATGCTTCGACCAGACGGTAGAGATGGCTCAATCAGGTTTAGATAAGTCAGGTACTCCTCTCAATAAAATATAGTCCGTCAAAATACTGTCAACCATTTGGTCAAGCAGGCAGGTAAAGGGTTTATTCCAGGACCATTTCAGTTGAAAATGGGAAACAAGAACAATCTTAACTTCCATTTTAAGCTGACCTTAGGAATAAACTCCTAGCTTACAGAACATTTTATAAAATAAAAGCTAATTTTCAAGACAATAAGTTTAGACCAACAGGATTTTACAATATATATATATATACATTAATGAAAACTAAGGTGAAACCCACTGATTCCGCCTGGTCCTATACATCATGTTGTCCTTTATACAGTTGAAGTCAGAATTATTAGCCCTCCTTTGAATTTTTCTTCTTTTTTAAATATTTCCCAAACTATGTTTAACACAGCAAGGAAATTTTTACAGTATGTCTGACAATATTTTTCCTCTGGAGAAAGACTTATTTGTTTCATTTCGGCTAGAAATACTAGACAGTTTTTAATAAAATAAATAAATAAATAAATAAAAAATAATAAAAATTTTAAGTCAAAATTAATAGCCCCTTAAAGCTATATTTTTTTGTTGGTCTACAGAACAAACCATCTTTATTCAATAACTTGCCTAAATTACCCTATCCTGCGTAGTTAAGCCTTTAAACTTAAGTCTTGAAAAATATCTAGTCAAATATTATTTGCTGTCATCATGGCAAAGATAAAATAAATCAGTTATTAGAAATGAGTTATTAAATATATTAAGTTTAGAAATGTGTTGAAAAAACCTTTTCTCCATTAAACATAAATTGGGGAAAAATAAACTTAGGGGCTAATAACTCAGGAGGGCTAATAATTCTGACTTCAACTGTATCTATATCCGTAATACCAAATATTACTAATTTTGTTGCAGTTACTGCAATGTCTGACCTAATGAGTGCTGTGAAAATCCTGGCTGGATCTACAGTGGAGATTGCAGCTGCTTCAGTTGGTGATCAGCACTTGGTGACCGCAGTGAGGTTGTCTGAAGATCACAATACAGCAGAGATCCTCAACGGGCTGGACACTGTTGATGTTAAAGCAGAAGACCCAGAACCTGTAGGAGAGGCTGCGATAGATCCAGCTGATCTAAACACAGCAGAACAGGATCAACTGTCTTCAGCACTTCACCCGGTAGACAAAACAACTGTAGAGGTGGCAGATGATAACAATGTCGACTCTGAAGCAAATGACTCTCATGTTGCTGAAACTGATGTTGAAAGCCTTTCTTTATCAGAGGGTATAGAGATGGAGAACACTGTAGAATTACTAGAGTCAACAAACCCTGTGGAAGTGATGACGGCAGAAGATGATACAATCTCTGGAGCTGCAGAGTCCATGACTGAAACTGTTGAGGTGGTGCATCAGATAATGGAGGAATATAAAGCATTATATGATGATCTAGCTGGCACAGAAACAGAACATACAGATCTCACAGAACCACCAGACATGGAGATGTCAGAGACAGTGTTGGATGAAGTGGAAGAAACTAAACCAGCTGAAGCGTCGGAAGAAGGTAACTAAATGATGCCACGCAAAAAATAATGAAGAAATCCAGATTGCACATGCATTTGAGGTAGTTCTGGAAATTTGTTTATTTTTTTTCCACAGATGATGAAAGTGGAAATGTTACGATGACCATGCCACAAGCCTAAAGTAAATGTACAACAGAACTTGGGAACCTGACTCTGGAAACTGAGAATTTATGTGAAGCCCAAAGAATCCGCAAAAAAATACATTGAAACTAACATTTACTGGTGTTTTATAGCCATGCAATGATGGAAATTTAAAGGTGGAAGTTAACATCAGTCAAAATGTGTCTGCACATTTAGTCAATGGTTTAAGTTATGATACTTTCCATATTTATGAAATGATTTAAAACAGGATTTGGGGTTAACTGTTATTGTAGTCTCTTAAAAATAATGTGCGGTGACATTGTACTATGCTGAACATGTGCAGATTTGTGGACACGTTCATGTTTTAGAGTTGCAGAGTACAAAAAAGGTTTTTATTTTAAAGCAAAATGGGACACACTGACATAATTAAATGATTAGCTTATTTTTAAACCGGGGTTTAAGAGGAGGTTAGGAGGTTGTTCCTTCATGCTTTTATAACTTAAAAAAGTTATTTATTTAAAAATTAACCTAACGTTGTTAATAATTTATTTATTTTATTAAATGTAATTGTTAATAATTAATTAATTACATTCACTTATGATAAACATAAAAACAACCGTTGACTTATTGACCATTTAATTTTTACAGTGTATGCTCCTGCCCTACAAGTGGCATGTTTATTTATTTATTTATTTATTTATTTATTTATTTATTTATTTACTGACTAACTTATTTAATATGGTATTGGAATTCATAAGTTTGTTGGTCAGTATTCAATTAAGTAGTTTCTGTTCTTCTCTGTTCATTAAAACTTGTATAATTTATTAGGATGCAGTTTGAAATCAAAATGTTATTATTATTATATGTCTTCAGATTCATGTAAAAAACTGATAGAATACCTTTTAGATTATTGTGCATTCCGCAATTTTGCTTAAGTCATTTCAAAGTCATTTCAAATATGCACAGCGTTTATTCCACCATTCTTCACCAAATTAAATTGTTAAAATATATTTTAAAATCTTTGTATTCTTGTATTAAATGCAATTTGTTTTGTGAATTCACAATGAAAATAAAATGAAATAGCCTGCCCACACTACATCCATGTTGCTGATGAACAGACTACTTTATGGGTATTAGTGACATAACAATCATGATGAGTCACATTCTGTAACATCATTTTAACTGCCGAATAAAAATTAACTTTAAAAACTGTTTTCCAGTTCTCATTTAACTTTTTTTCTGGTACAATCAGAATTTATTTGTTTTTGAAAAACGTGTTTGTTCATAAGTTTCTTAATAAAATACATTTCCAGTAAAATAATTTTAAAACTACTCGTATCATAGCAAGCGAAGTTATGTCTGAGTTCAAACAGCAGATGGTGCCACATACTGCTATTTTATGACCCTACCTTTCGTACCAAAAGTATAACCCTTTTCTACAACACAGGTCAGGCCCGTAGCCAGGGGGAATTCGAGGGTTCGAAAGACCTACACCCACTGAAAAAGGTCCAGATTTTGCCATTGGTGCAGCATTTTGTCCCTATTTTCTCATTTATCTTATTTTGACTGCCATGCCATCATAAATTGTGTAAATAACCAATCGAAGGCAGAGTATGACGGTAAGTGGGACACGTGTCATGTTTTAATTTTTTTAATTAAAAAAATGGCCAAATTCTGATTAAGGAAAGTTGAATGTGCTGTCCAGCTTGTTATTTGTCTGATTCAATGATAACAGCCTACATTTTAATGATATTTGTGTAACAATTTTGTGTTTTAAAATTATTAGTTGAAGTCAGAATTATTAGCCCCCCTTTGATTTTTTTCTTTTTTAATTATTTCCCAAATTATGTTTAACAGAACAAGGACATTTCCACAGTATGTCTGATAAAAAAAAATTCTTCTGGGAAAAGTCTTATTTGTTTTATTTTTATTTTTAAACACCATTCTAAGGTCAATATTACTAGCCACTTTAAGCTTTATTTTTTTCGATAGTCTACAGAACAAACCATCATTATACAATAACTTGCCTATAATTACCCTAACCTGCCCAGTTAACCTAACCTGCTTAAGCCTTTAAATGTCACTTTAATCTGTATAGAAGTGTCTTGAAAAATATTTAGTAAAATATAATTTGCTGTCATCATGACAAAGATAAAATAATCAGTCATTAGAAATGAGTTGTTAAAACTATTATGTTTAGAAAGGTGTTACAAAAACTTCTCTCCGTTAAACAGAAATTGGGGAAAAAATAAACAGGGAGGCTAATAATTCAGGGAGGCTAATAATTCTGACTTCAACTGTTTTTAACATTTTCTTTATTATAAAACTTATTTTAAAACTTTAGGAAATATATTCTTACATCAAAAATTGTGACTATGATGACCATCCGTCAAACTAATCCAGCTAAAAATAGTGCTTAAAATATCTTTAAATAGAGTACTTTAGCCACAGTTAAATAGAAATGAGGCGAATAACTGCAAAAAAAAAAAAGTCCACTTTTGAAGAAAAAAAGAACCACCCCTTTCACCAAGTCTTTACCAGATCTGTAGCTACGACATATTTGCTGGAAATCTGTACTTTTCCAAATATTCTGAAAACTATTGATGCAAACTAAACTGCAGACAAATTTCAATAAAAGTCCGGTTTTAAGGTAATCTATAAATTGTGTGTATTCTATTATAAATTGATATACATATGTTTGGGGGCAGGGTTTTTATATTCAACTATTCTAATTTAAACATAGTTATGTCCCTCACATAAGATTCATTTTTATTTATTTTTTTATTTTCTGGCACAAACCACATTTTATAAAATGTAAAAACTGAAAAAAATATCTTGAACAATTTATTAGTAATTGTACAAATTTTAATAATAATAAAAAATAATATAATAATAATAATAATAATAATAATAATAATAATAAAATGAATAATAATAACAAAATGAATAATAATAAAATGAATAATATTAATTATAATAATTATAATAATAATAATTATTATAATAAAATGAATAATAATAACAAAATGAATAATAATAAAATGAATAATAATAATAATAATAATAATAATAATAATAATGATAGTAAAAATTATAATGATAAAAAATTATAATGCTAGTCATGTCATGTTAAATTTCACAGCTTCCGGCAGGGGATGCTGAAGCACCCTCAGCACACAATTACAAATATGTATTTGAATAAAGAAACTGATGTGTAGCCTATATGGCTAATATTTATGCTGTAAGTTTAAACAAATGTACACATCTACATATTTATATGTTTTAATTAATCACTCATAGTATAGTACATCCATGAGCTCAACATATTACATTATTGTATAAATGTTACTGTTAGTATTTTCTGCTAAAACATTTTATATGTTTCTGACGAAAAATGAAGAATGGTTATAAATATTGAAATTTGTTTCAGTTGTGTGATTTATAACAGCACGTGCCTTGCCACACACTTGCTTTCATTATTCCAGTGGTAAACATATAAAATTAATATTAGCTATCATTAGAGGCTTTTGTTTTTGTATTTTGTTTTGTTAAGGACCTAAAAACTTGCGGGTTTAAGTGTAAAACTTTTTATGACATGACTGTGCTTACAACACTACATATACTGCAATATTTTGAGAACAAAATAGGAATGATAAAGACCAAAATATAGCTAAAAGATTTAAATGGACATATCATTAATTATGAAAACAACACCAAATACACACTGTCTTTGATTATTTATTATTTCATTAAACATCGAGGCAGTAATTAACTTCTGAGGGTGTGGGCTCTCTCTCTCTCTCTCTCTCTTTCTCTTTCTCTTTATCTTCTTTCTCTTTCTCTCGGTCGGTGTCTTACTGCTATGATTCTGAGCTGGATACAGTCTGCAAACACAACATCGTGTCCTCTGTGCCTGATCATCATAGAGTCTGGTTTGACTTGCACTAGTGGGTAGTGCTGGAGGCCCATCATCATCATCATCATCATCAGTAGTCAGTGAACTAGTTCAGTGTGTCTGTTTGGAGAGACCCGTATATATGTGTATGTGATGATCAGGTGTGTTAGCGTTTAGCCGCTAACGACAACAGTCTGACGGGCTCTCACACACCACCGCGGCCAAACTCCATGTTTCTTATATCTGTGTAAACCAGACCTACTCAGAGCGTGGGTTTTATTCGGAAAATCAGCTTTTTAAGGTAAGAAATCTACTTTTATGCCACCCATACCCCGAAGAAGCATTAGCAGGGACTCTGCGGTTGTATTAGCTTAGCTCTGTGTAACGAAGCTAATGAGGCACTTTGCGGTGCTCTTTAGTTTCTCTTTGCAATATAAAGAGCATGCCTTAAATGTAGACAAGTATTTTTTTCTTTTATATGTTTAGAAGTGGCTGCATTTGTTGTGTTTCAGCTCGCATGTGTCGTCATTTTGCAGACTGGCTAAGCTAAATGCTAGCAGAGTTGACAACTATAACCATGTAACGTTACGCTGTTCATACATCTGTTTTCTTGTTAAAATGTGACTTTTTGTTTAAGTAAGGGGTTTTAAAATTAAATTAGCTTATGTGAGATTTATATTTTAGCTTTGTAATGTATCCACGGCAGTTGTGTCAGAGATGTTCGATGTTCACAAGGTTTATGCTCAAAAAAAGCTGTCTTTATTCCTTAATAGAGTACATCTATACTTTAAGTGTAGGTTTTCCTTTTAAGGGATTGAGATAACATCGGTTTGTGTTATTTCCTTTAGGGTTTATATTGTGACGCCCACTTATTTGGAGAGAGTAGTGCAGGATCAGGACTTTGTTGTAGTCACTGGTGTAAACAGTGATGTTACATGCACGCTTATGGTAAATGTCAGGATTGTATTTGCTGACATGTAATTGTTACTGTGAAATGCAGACAAGTCTGATAACGATCTTATAAGCAAGGCATTACTCTAGTGTTGAAATCATGCCACAAGCTTTTCTTCTACAATTTGATCAATTCCTTTGGCAAGGGGTGATTGACTATCTAGGCTACTGATCTTTACATATTGTACAATTGGGGTTGTAATGGTATTAAAAAGAACTGGTTTATTGTTAGCATATGTCCATTTAATAACCATGAGAGATAATTTTTGACCTCAATAATGTGTCAGAAAATACTGAAATTGACCTATTTCAAATATGAGTGCACCTCACTGAGTGGGCTTGACAAATCACCTGTAGAAAACACACTGTTTAATCTCTACCACTTTAACCAACACTTGCACCAGTTTTGCAAATTTGCACCAGACATATCTCTAGCAAAACACCATGCATTCATGAAGTGTGCTTCACACAGGTGAGTGGCAAACCACCTGTAGAAACATTCTTCACTCTATTCACTTTATTCTCGACGTTTGAGCAGGCACAATCTTTTTGGCTCGAGACTTCCGATCTCATTCACTTCCATCGATTTTTAGACATTAAAAACAGCTTGTTTTGCTGCCTGATGTTGCCAACTGATATTTGCTTATATTATTCTATTTTGTCTCTATAGCCATGCAAACACTTGTTTGTAGAGAGAGTAGTTTGACAGTTTCCTGTCGTTTATTATTCTTAGTAATTTCTCCCATTGGCAGCTGAATCGGAAGCTCTAAAACAATCGCAAAAACGAGCGCACTTCCGCATTGAAGAATAGGATCAGACTGCACGAACAAGTCTCCCATGTCACAGATCTCAGCTGTCATAAAGTCAGACTGAACTACAATGAGGATGCGACAAACATAAAAGAGAATGCTCCCGGAGTTTGACGTCATCGGCCCGGGATACTTTCACTATCCAACGCTGTGAAATTATTCTTCGCAGCAAACGTAAACTATCTGTAACGGCAATTTTGTGCACAGCTTGTCTCCATAATAAAACCAGAAAAAAATAAAAAAGTTTTGACGTTTTCCTGCTGTCAATTGAATTGTCGCATGGATTGCATCATCAAATTCGAAACTGCCATTGGTTCTTGGATTGACGCTCATTGCAGCTGTTGTCACACTGCAGAAAAGTGAAATCTGATCGCAACGGGCACCAAGCGGCTGTCAGTGAACATGTCAAACCAACAATCAAAGATTATCGATTTTCGCCTAGGATTTCAGAAATCATTTAGGATTTCCCAAATTAGTCTCAGATGACAAAATCATGGCTGAAATCTCACAGTGTGAGCAGGGTTTTACCCTAGCACTAACAGTTTCCTTGTATAATTA